GTCATTAACAACAAAGGTGCTACTACCAGATTCTGTTTTTAGGTTTTTGTAACCAAAACCGTAGACTGGAGCTGGAATAGTGCATAAAATTGGTGATTCGTAATTACCAATATGTTCATTTTCTACCAAATTTTCAGAGTAGATAAATATTGTGTCTGCATTTATAAAATTGACACTATTTTCAGCTTCGACTGTGACATAATCGTATTTACTATTTCCAAATTCTGTTGTCAGAAGAGATAAATAGTCGTAATTGTTACCGTTTATGGGTTCTGTTTTAGGAAAATACCAAAGATAGTAATCCGTCATATATTGTTTAGTTCCTGGAGGGCCTGGAGTGGGTTGAAATTTTCCAAAATGTGGTGTAGGTATTGTAATGTCTAAAATTTTTGTATTATCTACTGGATCTGGAACGGATTTGTTTATTATCTTTCCTGGTGCAATTAATCCACCATGTTGGAAAGAATCGTATATAATTGATAATTCATTTCTTTGAAAATCGTTTCTCTTCACAGGTGGTGTCAACTTTTTTTTTTGAAATCCACACATTTTTCGTAATATTGATCCGAAAGCGATATATTTTAAAGATAAAGGACATTTTACAGACATTGTAACATATTTGTCATTATTGTATTCATAAGTTGTTGATATATCAAAAATAGGTAAAGCGTCTTCGACACTTTTCCAACAAATTTTTCGACCCCAATTTGATTGTTTTATGCTAGGGCTTACTAAAGATGGATGTGATAAGTTTTGTTCATCTATTGTTTGAAAACCCCAATAATGTGATGCTGAATCACCTGCTTCATTTTTTGAAGCATTATTTATTTCAGTTTTTGAAAAAAGATGATTAAGTGCATAAACAAATTGTTCAGCAGTTAAACGATGATATTTTTGCTTAGGTCCTGGAGGGTGTAAACGATCGACAACTTTTAAAAAATTTGTTCTTAAAACTGGAGCTACAGGTTCTCCACCATATTTTCGTTGCATTTCATTAGCAGCTTTTAGGTTGTAATTTTTCTTTTTAAGATCTTCAATTACCCAATCTTCCCATAATGATTTTGTATAATGCATTAAACAAAATTCTGATAAGGATGATGGAGTTGCTGAATGAGACGAGTTTTCCATATCTTCTAAAATCGATTTTACATAATTAAATTTTTCTTGAAATGGGTGAAATTCTTTCATGTCAATTATAGGATAACATTTCCATTGTCCTATCGAAATTTCGATTTCGTAAAATGAATATGACGGCAATTTTGCGGTTTTTGCTGTTTCTGCAGTTGGTAAAACAAAACATTTTTCTACTGAATAAAATGTAGCTTTTTGAAGAATCAAAGCCCATTTTTCTGAAGATGGAATTGTATAATCAGCTCTCGATAATAAATTGTCTTCTGATATGAAAGTAAATTTGAATGAGTCGTCGTAGAAAGGATCAGGATCATTTCCGTTTGAAGAATCTACTACCCCTTTGATTGTAAACTCATCGATTGAAGGATCAGAAAAACTCATTTTTAATAATCTCTAGTATTATTTCTAATATAAGTTTTATTACAAATTAATAACAAACACGAAAAATGTTTTATTTTATAACTAAATTTTTCAAGATTTAATGTGGAAGGATTTAGCTTTAAACAGTTTAAGCGTAAAGATTTAAAATCGAATTGGTTTGTTGGATTAATATCAACCTTGGTAAAAGTAATATTTTTATTTTTTATTAAAAATGAATTACCTTGATAATTTATGCTTTTACGAATACTTTCAGGTTTAATCAGGTTCGGTATACAAATACCAGAAAAAATAATAGATTTATCAATAATTGAATGTAGCTTGTCATGTCCTGAGTGTAATTTTGTTAAATCGTTCAAAATGGGATATTTTGAAGATTTGTCTATTGTAATAACAAAAGTTTCTGGTTTTGTAATTAATTCTTTATCTTCGTCAAAAGCTAAATGAACTTCTTCTACACTAATATAAAATTGCTGCAAAGGTTCTCCACTGTTTTCTCCAGTAATAAAAGTGTAAGGAGCGGGAAATATATCTACAGATTCGCTGAAATTGGTTTTAAATTCGATATCATCAGAAATTCTCACATCTTTATCCAATTCGTTGATTCTAACTTTTCTCATTAAAACCAAGTCGTTTTTATTGTCCATTATGTGGTTTGAGCGTAATATTTTATTAAAAACAGTACAGTCGAATTCGAGGTTTGTTTAATTTTTGCTTGATTTTTGTTAAAAAATTCTCGAATCATATCCATATCTTCGTGTACTGTATTTAAGCGAAATGTAGATAACATTTTCCCAACTGTTTTGAATTCGTAAATTACTTGTTCATTATTTGTAATCATAGAATAAATCGGTCTTTTAATTTCAACAGGGAAAATGGAATAGGGATATATTTTTTTAATATGTAATGGAACGTGAGAAGATAAAAGTGTAGATTGTTTTTTTCCTGCAAGTATGTTCTCGTGAATTAATGGTGATATTAATTCAAAATTACCTCCAGTTGGGTTTAGTAAATAATTATTTACGCTCCAACTTATTCCTCTTTTCAGAAACTGCATATTTGGATTATGTTTAAATGTTTCATAAACTGTATCTGTTGCAGAAGAATTAGCGTTTAATAAAGAACCAACAAAAAAATCTACGTAATCTTCTTTACCGGTTTCTTCTTGTCCGAAATTTGCATAAGTATAATTGATTACCTCATCTGGTTTATTTCCACCCGTATATAATTTGTCATCAGAAAAGCTTTGATAAATTTTTAAAAATAAACATTTGGTGTCTAATTCGTTCAGAACTGAACACCAAAATCCAGATCTTTTCATGTTTGGGTTTTTTATTGGTGGATTGTAAAATGTTTCGGGTGTTAAATTTTTCATGACTTCCTCCTTCCCACTTTTATTTGTATATGGGAATTTTATAGTATTTTGTAAATTATTTAGACCAAGCAATAAATATAACGTTCTTGACATTCTAATAATTTCGAAATATCCTTTTTCGTTTATATCAACAGCTGGATCAAGTCTGTTATCACCTTCTTCTATAGGGCGGAAAAAATCAATTTCAAAAAGATCTTTTGCTTCAGTTTGCATATCTGTTCTTTTTCTTAATCTCAAGATTGGAATAAGAAGCCTCATTTTTTTGCCGTAGAAGGATTTTGAAGATTATATCCAAACATTCGTGTTAAAAAAACAGTATTAAAAAATTGAACGAAATTGTTGGTCATTTCTTTTTTCAATGCTGGTAAAACTTGATCATCTTTGTAAGAAGTATAAACATAATCATGCGGTATAGTTATTCTTTCTTGAAATGTCATCAATGTTTTATATTGTGTGTTTTTAAAAAATCTTGCAAAGTGTTGCTTGCTGGAGTTTGAGGCATTGTGTGAGGAATTGGTGTAAAAGGGTTTGAAGAATATCGGTTGTAATTATCGCTTTCTTCTTGCATCAGAATACGTTTCAAATTTTGTTTTTTATATAAGAGATGATTATAATGTCTAATCATATCTTTTATTGACAATTTTTTATTTCCTTTAATAGCAATAAGTTGGTTATCTATCCTCTGAATACTCGGATTTGTTAATTTAGATGCTATAATTTCTGAAATATTTTTACTGTCAGCCACTTGTTGGTATTCGTTTGCTTTGATAGAATGATAAGCGTATAATTTAGGATCATGTGCATTTTGTAGAGCCAGTTTTCTATGTTTTGCAACCGAGTTTTCTTCTAACGACTTTAAATGTTGGTTCATAAATTCCTTCGTTGCTTGATACATAGAAGCTGGAATTAATACCATTTTACCATAAACACCTTTATTTATAGATGCATCAGTGCTAGATGTGGATAAATTTAAGTCAGAAGAACTTAAACTATGTATTCCACTATTTTCTAATCTACTAAGTTTATCAGAATTAAAACTTGTTGAAGAATTTGTAAATGACATGATTGATTTTTTTTAATATCTCCAACCCCTCATAGGAACATATCGTGACCAATTATGCATTTTATAATCAGCAGTTAAATGTCGGGGTCGTGGTCCGACAAGACGTAAATATGCTATTTTGTTTAATGGAGAAAAATTGGCTTCATCCCAAGAATTACCAATAGGACCGAGTGGTTTTCTTATTCCTGAATTAAGACGAAAAAATTCTCTACGTTCTTCACTTCTTGTGGTTCTTCTCCTTCTTCTTCTTCTTCTTCCTCCTGCCATGACTACTGTTTTAGTTATTAAAGTCTTTATTATACTATTATATATAACTGTTATTATTAAAATATTATTAGTATTATCTAATAGGGTTAGATTTAGGTGTATAATATGTTTTTTGTAAATTAATTCTTTTTTTCAACGGATGTTTATGTAAATCTTTATAATGTGAGCTAACTTTTGGGTTTTGAGAATGTCCGCTTTGATGATTCATCAACCCTTTCATATGATTGAACAAATTTTTTAATTTATCGCTATTATCCTCTCCTTCCACTTTGTGGTAATTATAGTAATTTAATTTGTTGTTAGGTTCTTTAGATTTTTTATTTCGATTCTTTCTTCTTCTTTTTGGTTTTGTTATTTTATTTCTTTTTCCTTCTCCAGTTAAAGGATTTTTTAAATTTTTGAAACCTCCTAACCCTCCAGACCTTGTTCCATTTCTCGTCAATTCTGGTATATTCATCTTCTGAGATTTATAACATAAAATACTAAAAAATATTGATAATCTTTTCTTAATATATAACATAAATTATTTTTTGTTTAACTGACTTTTTCGTAAAAATATTTCATATACATCTATTAATAAAATTTCTGATATTGTCCATATAATGTGTGTTAAAATGTTCAAGATCTGCGTTAGATCTATCACTTTCGCAAAAATCGTTTAATAATTTTCGAAATTCACCCCTAAGTGAGGTTGAGTTTGATGAGGCTCTTATAGGTAATCTTTCTTCTTGACGACTTGGTACTCTTTCTTCTTCAACATTATGTTCAGCACTAATAATGTCTTCGTTAATATTTTGATAACGCACTAATAATATTTTGATGATTGTCTATTTCAATTTCGTTCAAATTTTCTGGAACAGGAATATTATTATGAATTGGAGCTGGTATATCTTCATTGAAACTTGATCTTCTTAAATTATAATAATTTCGATTGGGGAAATTTCTATCCGGTAACGGAGCAGAAACTGGTCTTCCTTGTCGCATTAGACCCATATAACCATTTTTAAAACGTTCCAGAGCCGCTTTAGATCTGTCACTTTCACAAAATTCGTTTAATAATCTCCGTAATTCTCTCGTATTATTACCCATTTCAAAAAATTCGTTTAATATTCTGCGTAATTCGTTTGTAATTGGATTTGTGTTATTAGGTATTTCTCTATATCGAAATTCTCTCCTGTATGGAGAAGGTATACCGTTGTATTTCAATTTTATTTTGTCGAAGGGGGGTGGTGGAGAAGGACTAGGACCATCACCACTTTGTGGAAAAAGTTGAACTGCTGTTTCTCTAAGTCTTAAAGGAGAAGGTCTGCGTGTTAAAGCTGGAGGAGAACGTAATATTAAAGTAGGAGGTGGAGAAGGAGGTGGAGAAGGAGGTGGAGGAGGAGGTGGAGGAGGAGGAGAATGATTGGGAGATCTTAATCGTAGAACAGGAAGGGGAGGTGAGACAGTAGGAGAAATTCTAACAGAATTAGGTCTGGTACCGGGAGAAATATTAATAGAAGGGGTTGTAGAAATTCTTCTGAAAGCAGTCGAAGTAGATGGAATATTAGGTGGTATATTTATAGGAGAAACATTATTAGAAAAATTAATAGGTGTAGAAGAAGAATATTCTGGACTTGGTTCAGGTGGGGATTGACGTCGTGCTTCTTGTCTTCTTCTCTGTCTATTTCTATTGTTTAGCATCATTATTCTTCGCTCTTGAACTTCGTTGTAATTTTGACCAGGTCTACCAATCGGCTTTGGTAAAGGTGAACGTAATAAAAATCGAGGAACTTTACCATCTCTATTTCTATAAAACTTTATCAATGCTGCTTTCCGTCTTTTTATTGCAAGTTGTTTTATTCTTTTTTTATTGCTGGAGGTATTCTTAATCTGTCTATAAAGTCAGCATCATAAATTGTACGCCTTCTTGCAGCGTTTGCATTATCATTACTTTCGCTTGATGTTCCGCTTGGTGACGTTGGATTTCTTCTTGGTACATTCATTCTCACAAAATTTTCATAACCATCAGAATCTGAAGAAGATTCGTTTAAAGCCGGTCTTGTTAATGGTCGTATTAAAACATTTTCCCTATGAACGGGAGGAGAGGGGTTAGGGTTAGGATTAGGGTTAGGGTTTTCGGGAGATGAAATAATTTCAACATTTGAATTAACAATTTCAAAAGAAGGTTGTCTTCTGTTAAGAATTCCTAAAACTTCATTAAAAACGTTTCTTTCGTATGGGGACGTTCTCGGAGATGTTCTTGAAGGTGGTCTGATATTTGCTCTTGAAGGTGGTCGTGAAGGTGGTGTTCTTGAAGGGGGTGTAACTGGTCTAAAAGGAGATGTTCTTGGTATGCTAAAAGAACTAATAGACGCACTTGATTCATTACCACTTCTACTGCTGCTTCTTTTACCATTACCTTTACCTTTTAGTTTTTTTTGTTTTTTCATAGGCAATTTTAATACTTTCGAAATATCTTTCATCCATTTATTAGATCTGTTCGTAAGTTTAATAGCAACCATTTTTACAACGATAGAATTGTACTCAAAAGAAAATCACAAAGTTTTTATAGAGATGTTTTTATTAGATTTATATACAAAATAAAAGAAAATTATATGATATTTTTTGTGAATGTTCAGTTTATCTTTTTCGAAATTTTTGTAATGGTCGTTTTCGTAACAAACGCCTTTTTCTCCCCATACCAACCATTTTCATGACATCACCAATAACAGGAATATTTTTAGCCAAACCAATAACATCTCCAATTATTGGTAATTTACTTGCCAAACCCAGTCCCATTCTAGCTGCAGTCATTAGACCAAAACCTCTACCTCTTAATCTTCGCACTCTACGCCCTGCCAACCTTCTTCTTCGACGTCTTCCATAACCTTTCATTTTGTCGATTATTTTGATTTGACTATCTTAATTTCCCCTCCACTTAAGAGTTTTTTTATTGATTTTTTCGAAGTAATAAAGTGATATTATAATAAAAAAAAAGGTTAGTTAACTTTATCCAAAATCTTTTTTGTTCCCCATTCTGTAGCTCCAGAAACAGCACCCATTGCAGCTTTTTTTGCAACTTTTTTAGCTACACCCTTAACAACAGTCGGTGTCATTACCTTAAATGCATTTTTTAAAAACTTCCCCATTATCTTTCCCATCAATCCAAGACCTCCTCTTCCTCGCAAACGTCTACGTCTACCATTACGTCTACGTTTTACCCTACGTCGTCTCCTGCTTCCTCCACTAACCTTTTTACCAGGTGCTGAAAAAACTCTAGCATAAGGCATTGTAAATCGTTTCTTTCTAATTTTTTTACATAAAAAAATATTATATTTAATTTTAATAAAATAAAGTGTTTTTTTTTCACATAAATCACTTATTTTTTAACTTTTTAACTTAGCAATCGTTCGTAAAGCAAAACCAAGACCAAGATCAACCAACTTTCGAGTTCGAGACCAACCCCAACCTCCACGTAAACCTGTTCGTTTACATCTTCTGCAGCTTTTTCTTTTTCTTTTTCCTTTACCTTTCACTGTTCTAATATAGGGAGGTAACTTTCTCATCTTTTCTTTGTAAAATTAATTCTTTCTAATTTTTTTACATAAAAAAATATTATATTTACTTCTAATAAAACCAAGTGTTTTTTTTTCACATAAATCACTTATTTTCCCGCTGCAAAACTAAAAAGACGACCCAAAAAACTATTCCGCACTTCCTTACGTAGCTCTTTTTCGGGTAACATAAAATTTGTTCCTCCTCGTAAAACTTTTCGTTTACACCTTCTGCAACTTTTTCTTTTTCTTCTTCTTTTTCCTTTACCTTTCACTGTTCTAATATATAGAGGTAACTTTCTCATCTTTTCTTTGTAAAATCAATCCTTTCTAATTTTTTTACATAAAAAAATATTATATTTAATTCTAACAAAACCAAGTGTTTTTTTTTTCACATAAATCACTTATTTTTTCCTAATGCCCATCTCCATGCCTGATGCCAAGCACTTTCAGTACCTCTTCCTCGTATCCCTTTTCGTTTACACCTTCTACAACTTTTTCTTTTTCCTTTACCTTTCACTGTTCTAAGATAGAGAGGTAACTTTCTCATCCTTCTTATTGTTTTTTGTGGTATATATACCGATCCAGTATTATAACCAAACAATTTCCGACTATTATAATCCATATATAAGAAATCGTTAAAAATAAAAGACTATTTAACATAATATTTTTTTATCGAAAAAAAAATTACAGACTGTACAATTATAAAAATAAACTAATTACTAAATCGTTTTCAACAAACTAATAGGCCTATCAGGATATGCTATCTTTACATTTTCTGGATTTCTAATCAACGAATTTACAATAAATCGTAATCTATTATCTACATTAGGGCGAACACAAATTCTTACATACGGATATTCACCCTCCTTCGATTCTGAAAAATATCTTTGACAAGTAGTAAAAATAGTTCGTGCTTCTCCAGTCTGACCTGGATACATCTGATTTATAACAGCACGCAACTGATCGCTACGGGCAGGATCTTGAAATATAAATTTATAATCTACTTGATTTACTAATTGTCTAGCAAAACGACCTTCGGGATGAAGATATTGCCATAACATAAAAACACACCAATTTTTATGATGAGCTTCCCTTGTTAATATATTGCTAACATCTTCTCGACGTGTCATTTCATTCATCATATCATCCAATATAACAATTGAATAATGAGGAATTGAATTTATTTTATCCAAAACTAAAGTATCCGTAAGATCACCTTTAACGAATGTTATTTTACTCTTAAAACTCATACTATCCGCAGGTAACTTCAAATTATAACTATTTACAATATTGTTCATTTTATAAAAATCTTCAGGGCTTTCAGTTCCGTAAAACTAATAAATATTTCGAAAATATTTTCCCTCCTCATCATCTGTATAATTTCTCCATTGGGACAAAATATCGATTAATAAAGTAGTTTTTCCACATTTAGATTTTCCAGATAATAAAACGGAACAAGGAGTTTTAATACGTATATCTAACTCAACATTCGAACGTAAACCCTCTTCTTCGTCTTTTAAAAACGAATGTATACAATATAAATCCTTGTCATTAATTTGAGCACCTTTCTTCGAATTTATAAAATTTTTCATATCATCTTTTACTTGTTTATCGTGAAACAAGATATATTTATCATCAACACTATTGTCGTTTTCTATCTTATCTTTTACCAACTTTTTCCTATATCCAAATCCTATCAACGGCTTCCTTTTCAACTTGTCTTCTTTTTCTAATTCTTTTATATCCATTTTTTCATATTTTTTACAAGCCGTAAGAAACTTCTGAACTCTTATAGGAGGCATTTTTTTTGAAGAAATAAAAAATAGTAAAACATTATATCATAACCCAAATCAACATTTATTTTTATAAAATTATCAGACTACATATATTTATATTAAACTAAACTAAGTGGCCACTAATAAACGGTTTTATAAACATATAAAAATGAAAATAACCAAAACCTTTAGCGTTACAATCATCATCTAAAACGAATTTATCATCTTCGCCAGTACCATAAGTTTTCCTATACTCTCGCATTAACAAATTACGTAACTTTTCGTTTAAACAATTAAACTGCTGTTCAATAACGTAGATATTAGACTGTTTTTTCAAAGTAGCAGTAAAAGTATTATTATCAGAATCCTCCTTTTTGTCGATATCGTCAATAATTACCAATTCGTCAGGAAAACTATCGTTAAAATAGTCTTCACTATCTGGTTGTTCCTTTTTTATTTTCTTCTCTGGAGGTTGTATTTCTTCGTCAGGTTTTTCGTCACTGTCATAGCGAATCATTTCAGGAGCAGTACAGCCCCGACAAGTAACACTGCTATCGTTACCATCCAAATCAGGATAAACAACATCGTCGTCACTATGATTGCTGCAAGTACTACTGCCACTGCTGCTGCTGCTGCTACTGTTTACGATATCACTTCCCTTTTTAGTATTTTCCAAATAAACCTCTTTGCAACGCTCAATATCTTTTCAGCCAGTTCTTTTTACACCAAATGTACCGATTTCTTTATATCTCCTTTCTTTCATTTCCTTCAAAACCGACAACCGTTTAACGATAGTCTTGTCCCTTTTATGCAAAATCAAAAACTTCTTTCAATTCGATATCCAAATTTGCAGTTTTCGTTCTCACAGAATCGGCAAAGTACTCCACATAGTCATTCAACAAAAGCTCAATGGTTTTTTTACTCATATGTAAACAAGTTTTACAATACAAGCAATGATTTTTCATCCTTTCTAATAATCGATGCAGTTCACTTTTCATCTCATCTTTGAATTCGTGTAAATCAAACCAAGTAACAGTGTCATCTTGAAAAAAATACCTATCGATTATAAAATTGTTTATATACATGTCACTTTTTCGAAAAAGTTTGACATTTTTTATCAAACGATTTTGTAGAGCATCGAACTTCCTATCAAAGTCTGTCAAAGATGCTCCTGATGTTACAGAAGAGGTTTCCGACAAATCCGACAATTCGGTTTTATTCTTTGGATTGTTTTCAACATGTCCAAGATGATTCTCGATTCTAGCTCTTTTTTTTGAAATATTCTCTAAATCGTCAACTTCCAGTTTCCTTTTCAAGTCGTTGTTTTTTTCGATCACGTTACAAAGTTCTTTTCGCAATTCGTATTTTACCATTGTTTTTTTCGTTTCCAACATCATTTCATTATTAGCTGCATGACTTCGCAAATCTCCATCTGCAAGTGAATCCAATAAATGACTCTTCTGATCCGGTGTTTGAAACATAATCAAACTTTCGCTATCTTCATAACTAGTAGAAGGTAAATTATTCCCCAAATTGCTCATAATTTCGTCAGAGTATTTGCTTATGTCTTTAATGTCTGTAGGAAATTCGTCATCTGTTCTGCTTAAATGATCGATAAGACCTAAAATAAAAAAATGTGGGGGGTTATTGTTGTCCAACAATAAGTGAGTATTATTTTTAAGATTACTTACCTGCTATCCATCTTATTAAGACAATAAATTTTTACACATATTTTCAAATAAAAAATCTTCTTCCTGTTTTTTAATTCGTTTAAATGTAACACTCAAAGAATTTGCTTTTCTTTTACGACCTCTTTTATTCTTAGATTCATCCAATGGTTTAGTTTCATTAGCTTCTAAAAGATCGCTGGCTATGTTATATCCGCTATTAACGTATTCCTTCCTAAAAATTGTTAAATTTAGTTGTTTCATTTTCAAATCTTCTATTGAAAAAATACCATCTTTTTCATCATCCAAATCCCTATCGAAAAACGAAAAACCTTTTATTTGATTTTTAATTCTATTTAATTGAGTACCTTTAGCAACAATTTCAATATTAAACAAATAATAATCAATTAAAAGAGACATATTAATAGCATGAGATTCGTTAACATATACACATTCTTCAACATTTTTAGTTTGACAAGTATCGCAATTAATAGTCATACGGCTAGCGCAAACTTTACATTCGTATCTTATGTTCTGTTTCTCAGTAATTATATTATTTTTTAATTCATATTGTTTAACCCAATAATCGGGATCGGATGTAGCTTTTTCTATAACTTTATTTTGCCAAATTTTTTTAGATTTTCAGCAGCTTCTTTGTCACTCATAATTTTATGATTATTAACATAAGACTGAAATTCGTTATTTGAATATATATTATTTTGTAATAATATAGCATGAAAAATCCTTTTTTCAATCTCTAAAACCATCACATGCGTTTTAGTTACAACTTCTGAAAGACCGAAAGGATAAACTGAAACTATTTCTCCATCACTACGTAATAAAGGAAACATTTGGGTATTTTTATCAAGACCTAAATTTAAATCAAGAGAATTAAAAAGTTCGTCTAAAACTAAAAAAGAATGTTTTTGTAAATGGGAGGGAGAGGTAAAAGATAATAATAATGTTTCATTCTTATATATCTTACCTTCCATATCATTATCCTTCTTCCTACTTAAACAAAACATTATGTAATATGTACAATTTTTCAAAATTTAGAATTTATAAAATTTACACAATTTGAAAATAATTTACAATATTTACAATCTTAAAAATAATACCCACCTTCGACAGTTTTTCTAGACATAGTCAGCCTTTTTTCGTATCTTTTTTTATTATAACTAAAAATAAAAAAATAAACATTTATAATTTATATTTTTTTAATATATATTTTTTTTATGAAACATCATAAATAAAAACAAAAAAATTATAATTAAATTATTTTCTTACCTTTTTTTGTAGATACAAAACCAAGCCGTCAAACTTTTTTCTTTTTTTCGATGTGCAAACAATCTAAGAAAAAATATTTAAATATTAACAATTCTACCCTTTTTATAAACCAAAAAAATAAAAACTAAACATGTTAAAAAAATTAAAAAAAACTTCAAACAAATAACTCACTTTTTTCCACAACTGAATCTGCTCCTGGCTTGTCCTGTTCTTTCGCTGACCAAAGAGAACTGATTTTTCTTCAGGAACTTTCCGGCTTTTTATAGCTTAATGTTTCTAATAATAGCTGTGATAAAGAAAGGCAAATTTTTGAAGCAAATAATCTTGATTGACACATCTTGTAACCACACTTGTTCATACATTGCAATCCTTTGTAAGTAAATTTTTTCTTCCATATTCGACTGAGAAAAAACAGTTTATCGCCAACTTTGCTTTCTGTATAAATTTTATTAGCAATAAATTGTGACAATTGTCTATCTTTAAAATGACACCTTTTTAACGCCAGAACACATTCGATGTTCTTTTGTCGAAGCTGCAAATTGTCAACTAAAACGTTGAACTTCAATCTAATAATCGTCTTTTTCCGATCTTGAAAATCGAAAGATATTAATAAATATACATCTACTGCTTCCATTATATATCCAAAGGAACTGTATGAATACCATCGTCAAGAATTCGCCTCTTGCAGTAAAAAGCACTAGTCATCTTTTTTTTCTGTTCATAAGTTGCCAAAACAGTATTAGTGCTCCTAATTCCACGATTGGTACCGAAAGTATCTTTTAGAGGTTCTTCCAAAGTTTCTCTATACACATCCAAAACTCCTTCTTGTATATTTTCAGGTTTTCTTCTCTTCCCTTCTCTAATCATTTCATTCTTTTGAACTCCCTTACAGGAAAACTTAATATTGTTAGAATCTAATTCAGCAACAATATAAGACTTGGCACATAAAGCAATAAGATTTGTCCCTGTACATTTCCCCTAAACGATTTGGTTGTCTTTTACCAAAAATAGTGTCTTTCCTATAAAAAATTCATCTTTATGTTTTCATAATAATCCATCTTCGCGGGTCAATATTGTCTTCAAAATTTTTATATTTCAAACTCAAATAAATACTGTCAGTGTCGGTCAGCATTAATTCATAATTCTCTGCTTTTAAAAAACTTTAATGAAGTCGTAATAAAAACGTAAAATGTGAATTTGGCCCTTCCGAATATTACGCTGCAATTTGCGAACTTGATCTAAAACAATCCTCTTTTTCTTTAATTCCACTTCAACAATTTCAGGTGTTATAACTTCGTATTTTTCAAAATTTAGCATTGAAGACGTCGTCAAAGTTGTTTCTCTCTATACCGTCAGGTTTCTCCAAACAAAATTCACATTTAATTGTTTTCTTTATTAGTTATGCTGATGTCAAAGCACTATTTCCTTAATTTCTTATATCTTTCATTTCTGAAGACTGTCTCTATCTCCAGCAATTCTTAATTTTGTGATATTAGTGGCAAATCTCGAAATATAGCTTCCTTTTTGAATCGAACAAAAGCGTATATCTCCGTAACAATAAATCCCTTTTTTACCAGCCAAACAAAATATTCATCAATTAAAGCTATATTTTTTCCAAAATAAGAATCTATTACCGATCCGTCCTTCTTTTGGAAAAATAATTTTTAACTCATCTGCCAAATCTTTCATATAATCTCCAATGTCTTCATATTTAATATTCGCGTGTTTGATGATCGGTGCAAAATCCTCAAAGTGCTTTTTCAAATGCTCCGGACAATGAATATCACAAACAACAATTCCGTTGATTTGTCCCGCGACTAACATATCCTTCACATATTCAGTTGGTACATAGTCACTTCCAGTATCAGAATAAAATTTCATCTTATCTTCATACGATCTTTTTTCGTCTACAAAATCTTTGTATCCACACACGTTATTCCTATAATGATCCCGTATTTTACACTCCATTATTAAAGTTACTTTCAAATTTCGAGACTTTTCTAAAAAAGTTTTTCTAATTTTGTCTATTTTTCGAATTTGTACAGCATTCATAACAACCATTTTTTTTGTTGCTCTATCCCAACGATTGAACGTAACATAGTCGTATTTATTACATCTTTCGCAAGCGTGATAATAGCAGCCTTGAAACTCAAAAACACGTCTTTCTCCCTTTACATAACCGTCCACATAAATACATTTCGGAGGTTCTATTCCAATATCGTTTATAGTATATAATTCTTTCAGTATTTCTTGCTCATATTTAGTAAAAACAATTTTATAATTTCTGAAAATTATATTTTCGGTGTAAACCTCTTTCTGTATAAAATCAAAATAGTCTTCTTCTGTTTGACTTTGTACTTTCGAACTAGTAACTTTCCTTTTCCTTTCTATCATCAACATATCACTTTGGAATGTGTGACTTGTGTAATTATAAGTAAAATCGGTACTCTTTCGAATTAAAAAATTTGGAATACCAGGATTAACGTACAACGACGGTTTTCCGACAAACTGTCCTTCGCCAAGGCACCACAAGTAAAGTGAATTCGAATCATATCCAACAATATACGGATGCTTTTTACTATTCTCCCTTGTAAAAATTATCGACTGCCCGCCAACTTCCGATTGTTTTACTATATTAATTATTTCCATGTCATTTAAATAATACATCGAGCCTTTGTACATGTAACGCGATAAAATTTTCTTTGCTAAACCAGGTAACGAAATACCATTCGCAAACATGTCCACATGATTATCTCTCAATTCCTTTGCATAATTTTGGATAGCTTTAGCAAACGGGACAACATCCATAAGATTATAAAAACGCAATAAATCCTTCAATGTTTTAAAACCCAATTCATGCCATTTTTTTTTAATCATTTCGTATTGTTCAAGTCCGGATAATGGTAAATTTGCATCGACTTTTCTAACTTCTTCTGGAGTTGTATTTAAAAGCATTTTTTTAACTTTGTAATTTTTTTCCAAATAGGCGAGATACTCTTCCTCTAACACATTCCCCTGTTTCAACGTGCTATAAAACGATTCATAAGGAGGGAGACAAGTTTCTTCTAATACATCATAACTTGACATGTATTCGTATGGGAAAAAAAACTTTTCCATTTTAAATTCTGCAGCAAAAGACTGTATAAAATTTCGTAAACTAAATCCTGGCGCTAAAAATTGCATCAAATCTAACAATTTGAACCGTCCGTGCTGTATTCTTGCGCTCATTTCTATATATTTGCTCTGCTTTTTTATTACGAATAAATCTTTCCCATTTGTCTTTTGATTATTGATATCTTCAATGTTGCTAAAATTTAAACCTTTTTCTTTTAAAACTTGTATCAACTCCTTCTTTATTAACGGAATGTCATACGCGCTACTGTTGAACCCAAAAACAGGAAGTGTAGATATATAATCCAAAAATCTTTTAAACATGCGAATTTGAGGTGTATAACATTCAATCAATGTCATTGGATCTTTACCGATCTTTTCCATTATTTCCATTTCTTTCGACATTGTAACCAAATCATCATCCGACATATTTTTTTCTTTTAAAGTAGAGCTCACACTTACAAATCCGTTAAAAAAACTCCCCTCACCTTCTTCCTCCTCATCGTCAATCGCGCTTATAAAGTCGTCATTGTGGAGATAATTTAGCTCCTCAGTAGTAAATTTAATAAGTATCTTTCTTTCTGCAAAATATCTCTTTATATATAAAATAATTTCTCTATATCTACAAAATTCCATTTCTTTATTTAATTTCACCAATTCTTCCAGATCATCGACGAAAAAATTTATCAATTCTGTCGGATTTTCAGATATGCGAAATACAGTAGAATAACCATTTTCATCTGGTTGTAAATGATCGATATGCTCTGTTGTCAAATTGCTGCATATTGCGTACGACAAAGGTATATTTTCAAACACGTATTCCTCCCCATCTATAGTCAAATCAGTAACAAACCATATTTCTTTTAAAATACATATCATTATTATTTTCGTTGTTATCAATGTCGTTATTCTCGTCTTTTACAATATCTTTTAATAGTTCATCCGGCAAATGAAACATTTTTTTCAACATTTCAGGAAAAAGTTCATGAACATCAACAACTCCAGTAGCGCTAATAAGGGTTACATCAGTATTGCAACGTGTTATTTTTTTGCCGCTTCCAGCTCTATGTCGTAACAAACTTTTCATCCACGTAAAATTCTGTCCGCATACCAGAAAACTAATATTGTCCATCAAAAGTCTTTTCTTAATAACCAAATAATAATGCTGATTAAACAAAATCAAGTTAATATTCATTTTCTTCTCGAAAATAAGTCTGTTCGAAGATTTTGACAATAAAGCCATTTTCACTCTGCCTTTCGAAACCTTAGGAATAAAAACCATTATCTTGCACTTAAACAAAAACTCCATAGCAGGCATGACTTTAACAGATACACCTTGGAATGTTAATATTTGTTCTGGAGTAAGCTTGTACACTTCAGCATACATCCTAAATAATTCAGCCGTTTTATCTTCAATTAGAGTTTTTATATGAGTATTTTCGCCTTTCCGCATTATCAAATTCTCCAATTTTATTTCCTTATCAACTAATAATAATGAAACAGCTATCATCCTGAAAAAACATTTATTATCATTTACGACTCCACCAACATTTCTTTGCAGGTCCCTTTTTAATCCTTTAAATATTTTGTTTGTTCTTAATCCCGCTTTTAAAAAAGAACGTATTTTTGTTAAATCCTTTTCTGTTTCAGAATCTTTAAAATCCGATTTTTCAACATTTTCTTGAACATCACAATCACTTTCGTTTTCGTCTAAATCGTCACCATCATCGTCATCTTCAGCTTCTAATAAAAGAAAATCATTCTTTTCGATATCGCTTTCATCTTCGAAATCTTCGTCATCATCTTCATCATCCGAACTCTCGTCTTCGCTACTCCGACCTCCCAAATCGTCCATTTTGTCGTCGTTCATTTTAAATATTGATATTTTCATATTTGTTATTCGTAAAATATGCACTCGATACGAATAAAACATTCTCCGAACCAAATCGAAATAGTTTTGTTTATATAAATCTTCGATAACAGAATCTGCGTCATTTTTGTTTTTTATAACGAAAAGATTCGGAACTTGATGAAGAATATCTTTATTTTGCGGTGTTCTAGTTAGATGTTCATCAACATACCAATGTCTTACAGTCGTTTTTTCTGTATCCAAAAGCATAAAACCAAACGCAATTCCCATTTTGTAAGGTAGTTGATGTACGGCTGCGTTATATACATCATGTATCGAATTTTCCAAAAACTGTCTAAACTGAACGTTTTCAACATAAGGAATATTTATTTTTATTATGTCTCCGTTTTCTGATTTATGAGAATGTAACATAATTTCCGATGCATTGTCTAAATAAGCCTGTTTTACCATATCTCGCCATACAGATCGTACCTTTTTGACAGCGTTCGTTAATATATCTTCCTGCCCTTTTTCTTCATTATGTTTAGAACTAGACGCCTTCCCTTCACCCAATAAATCACCACTCGTATCATGCAATTCCATTAATTTAACTTCTTTATTTACAGCATTTAAAAAAAAATGCTCCTCATGAATTGCATTTATGTCTTCTCTCCAAGGTTCATATAAAAACTTTAATCTATTTACGAACTTTCGAACAGAACATTGTGTAGGAACCGCTTCTATTTGGAATCCCAAACGACCGTGATTTTTAAGCATGTGTTTGTTACACAACATCAAAGAACTAAACTCCAACGCACAATGTTCACATTTAAAAGATTTTTTACAATGTCTTTCTTGATGAAGAAACAAATCCTTCTTTCGCAAAAAACCATAACCGCAAAAATTACAACAATTCTCCGAATGTTCCTTCGCTATATGGCTACGAAGTTTGTATTTTGATCTAAATTCACACTTGCATAAATCACATTGAAGTGGATTAGTATGAACTTGTGTCTTGTGCTTTCTTAAACTACCAATCTTACGAAAAACTTTACCGCAAATATCACAAACATGTTCCTCGTTGTTTTCGTGATAAATTGTTCGATGTAAAGTCAAAGCACGAACAGTAGGAAAAGATTCGTCACAATAACGACAATGAAAATTCCTCTCATGGTATAATCTCTTATGCTTCGTCAACGTATTCTGTGTTTTTAAAACACTAGAACATAAATCACAAGGAAAGTGCTTCTCTTTAACATGTATATCATAAGACTTATTATCAGGAAATTCTAACGAACATATTTTACAAAAAACCATATTCGTAAAGGTACCTTGTATGATGAACCAATCTCTTTATCTCTTATGAACCTTTGCTCTGGCCCAAGACGCTCTGACTGAATTGAAAAAAAGCTCTCGCTTTTATAGCTAAATCAAAGTATTGTATGCTAATTTCAAACTATTTTTAAAAAAAGAGACGTCATTATTACTGAACAAAAAAATTTGAAGTTTTTTCATATTCAAAGCTAAAAAATCAAAGTTATTCCTTTTTTAAAAATTAAAGTTTTTTTCAAAAACCAAAAATTGAAGTTCCTTCAAATAACTTCAAATAAAAAAACTTGAAGTTTTTTATAAATTTGAAGTTTTTTTCTTATTTGACTTTAAACAATAGACGCTTCTCAATAACCAATCATATGAATGACATTTTAAGATTTAAAATATTAGCCAATAGTAAAGCTCCACATTTAACATCGTTGCGTAATATGTCAATCATTTATAAAACCACCTAACCAACTCCTCAATTCGCAAACTGTCACACCAACGATCAAAATTTTGAAAGAAGTTGCAAAAAATGACGAACGAACCATCAACAACGAACAATCAAGCATTCGAAGTAAAAAAAGCTATCGATTCAGCCTTTACGGACGACGAAGAAGATTTAATTCCGTTATCTTTATTGTCCAAAAGACTACTGACATCGTGAGTATATTTCTTTTCTTTTTACTCTTTTTTAAACTGTTCATTTAGTTTAATTAACTTACACATCTTTTAAAAAAACTTTTCAAATTTTTTTTATTAAACTTCAATTTTTTCATTTAGACGCTCAAATAAAAGAACATCAACGTCGGAAGACGAATCATCACCCAAAAAGAAATGCGAAGGTTCTGTAACTGTAAATCATGCAGAAATATCAAAAGAGTTCAATCGACTAAAAGAGCTGCTAGAACCTTCATTCCCTTTAATGCCATCAATTCGACCGCTCGTCGCTCCAGATATGGATACAGACACTGAAACAACGCTCACGGCAAACGAATCAGCAACAGAAGTAGAAAACTTCAACGAATCTACAACAAAACCAACCAAAGTTACTCCAACAGCCCGAAAATCCTTTGCCGCACCACGAAGTCCACCTACTCCACTAGCGTTCGAGCCGCAAACGCCACCTATTTCAGAACCTGATACAGAACCTCAACAAGAAAGACCAACAGTTCCACCAACCCTGGACATCTTTAACTTCAATTTATCTGACGATGTTCCGACTGTGAGTAGAGATTTACCTAACTTCCCTTTTAACATTCGACAAAATGACCGTTTTTTTGAGACTTTACAGCAAATTGGCTTAGCTATTGATAATCTAAAAGATTTTTCATTATCTCCTTCTTCTGACGATGATCTTTTTGCTACCTTTTTACCACAGTTGACTACTCGACTCGAACCTTTAATGACGACATTAACTGGACAGAAATTTGGCATATTTACCAACTTGAAACAACTTTCAATATACTTAATCGATCATTTTATTTTCGACATTCTGAACATTTGCAAATACCTTTTGACGGATCAACTAACGAAATACGAAAACAACGCCGCTCGACTAAAACACCTTAGATCTACTATTAATATTAACTACATTAACAACCCTAATAACCCAGATTTGATTGCCGAATACAAACGGAGAAGAGCTACACAAATTCAAAACAGCAGTTCAATAAGAGAAATGATGCACACAGTTAACAATGTCGCTTCATTAAAAAGAAGTATCATATACGAAGACCCGTTGTTCGATTGTCACGATGCAATAAGAGTAACACTATTGTGCGCAATAGATGAAATCATGTCAAAAACTGCCATGACTGACGCTGAAAAAATCAAAGACATTTTTATTAATACGGTTATGTAAAACCAACTATATATGAACATTTTTAACTAAGTAGATTAGTAACTACATTTTTTATTATTGAAGTAACTTTTCTTTATATAAACTTGAAGGCGTTGTAAGAATTGTGATCATTTTGTCTCTATCTTCAATATACTCAACATTTTTTTGCAACAAATCTAAAGCAGTAAAATTTTCGAAATTTCTCAAACTTTCATTCAAAAGTGAATCGGCATAAGAATGAAGTAAACTAACAACAGTTATACAATCATCGTATACTGCCAGATGCAAAACTGACTCTTTTCGATAATTTTGCTTGTTTAAATTGCAGCCACATTCAACCAAAAATTGAATTACTTTGCATTTTCTTTTACGAACAGCAATCATTATAGGAGTTTCGTGATTTATATTTTCTGCTTCAATATCGGCTCCATTTTTTATAAGATGCTTTAATAACCATCTATGTTCCATCCAAGTAGACACATCAGTTTCTTCAATATTTGGAATTATTCGATGTAGAACAGTATTTCCATACTTATCACGATCATTTAAACATGTTGGATCATCTTTTACCATATATATAATTTTATCCAATTGTGAAAGTTTTTTATCAGTAACCAATTTTAACAATTCTGTCAACTCTCCCTTATATTGAAGCTTTTCCTCAAAATACTGTATTGAGAACTCGTCTTCATCTTTCTTTTCAGAAAAACTCAAAAAAGAACCCATAATTTTAAACTTCAACTTTTTTTTATAAAACTTCAACTAACCTTCAATTTTTAAAACTTCAAATTTATACTCAATTAATAAAAAAATTGAAGTTATTTTAACTTAAATACCAGTCCAACAAAAATTAAATCAAAGTTGTGAAATATTATTTCTTAAATATATAACCATATCTTTAAGAGTAGATAAGTCATCTTTGTCGGCTTTAGAAACTTCAATTTCCTTTTGAGAACATTTCTTCTCCAAATCTTCTTTCATTTTTACTGCAAGTTGTAACGCTGTTAAATGTTGATTGTTTTTCTTCAGAGGATCAACATTAGAACAAGAACTTTCAGAACGTCTCAAAAAATCGCACCAATTGCCAACAGCATAAAAACCGTGCAAATGTAAAGAGATTACAGCTTTGTGCAAAACACTATTTCCGTCGTAATCGCAAATAGACAAATCCACCTCTTTGCGAAAAAGATAAGAAGTTAGCAATATTTGCCCCTTCTTTATGGCAATCATTATAGGAGTTTCTCCAGCGTTATTTTGCACATTTAAATCCACTTTATTTCTTATAAAAATTTGAAAGAAATATTCCAAAGTTCCCCAATCTTCTTTGTCTTCGTCCCAATATTCACAAACTTTATGTAACAATGTATCTCCTTGTTCATCTCGCTGCATAAAAACTTCCCCATTGTCGCGAACTCTCATATTTATCAACAAACGTAATCTCCAATCTAAAATAGGAGAAATTCTTCTGTCAAAAAGTTCGAAGACATTTCTTTTACTCTTACAGTACCTTTGAAGACCTTCAGTCGGAAAATACAAATCAGGATGCTCAAGTTTGTTGTTCGTCTTTTCAGCCATCTCAAGTTTGTTGTTCGTCTTTTCAGCCATCTCGATAAAAACTAAAAAAAAACCTTACGGACGGTCTTTTATACAATTTTGCCTCTGCGGAGCAGCCTGCCACGTGGTCTTATACAGGACCCTACGCAGGAGCGCTAGGTTTAATATGCAACAGGTGGAACCCTAGTATACACTACTCTCCAGAAGATAGATTTTCCATCCCAACACCAATTGCACATGCGAAACTTTGCTTTATAGTTCCTAGAGTTTTCTCTATCTTCTTTTTCGCATATGATATGCGTCTATGTTTTGGCATGCCATGGGTTTTTA